TGAAGGTCTGGAGCATATCAGTAGCTCTGTGGACAGTGTGATAGTCGGACTACAGGAATGTATGGTTGGTGGTGGGCAGAACTGTTCAAGACAACCACTGGAAGAGTGTAAGGTTAATAGCGAGCCGAATTGTACATGCGAAGCACTTAACTGTTCAAGACAGCCAGTAGAAGAGTGTATGTGTGATACACCAAGGGCAGCAAGCAACTTAGTAGAAGAGTGTAAGGGTTATTGTGACACAGACTGTCCAAGGGAAGAAGTTTTTAGTAACTACACATGTGGAGGTACAGGAGGTTGGAGACGTGTGGTCTACCTGGACATGACAGACCCCAACACCAACTGTCCCACTGGCTGGAAACTCACTAGCTACTCCAAGAGGACCTGTGGTAGAGTTGGTACTAGTGTTGGTCGCTCCTGTGACTCAGCCTTCTTCCCTGTCAGTAGAGGAAACTACACTAGTGTGTGTGGCTCTATCAGAGCCTACCAGAATGGATACACAAATGGATTTCGGGCCTATCACGAGAGATCGGTAACCACAATCAATGGAGCCTATGTTTCTGGTGTCAGTCTCACACATGGCAGTCCACAACAACACATCTGGACATTTGCTGCTGGTTACTCTGAGGCCCTACCCACTTATGTTAGCGTCTGTCCTTGTGATGCTCCTCCCAATAGCATCAGCATCCCACCATTTGTGGGTGGAGACTATTTCTGTGAATCAGGAGTCAACTCAGGGAATCCTCGTTATCAAACCTTCTATCCAGATGATCCTCTCTGGGATGGTGAAGGCTGCAGAAGCAGCAGTAGCTGTTGCTCATTCAACAATCCTCCATACTTCACTAAGATACTCCCCAGCCCCACCTCTGACTCTATAGAGGCCAGACTGTGTCGATATGGTTCTGGCCCTGAAGACTCTCCAGTGGAGTTTATGGAACTTTATGTGAAATAGACAAACTATATACCTACTTCTGAAATACTGTAAAGAATCGAACAATGTATACTTACTTTCTAACAGTAGCTACTATATATTTTGGTGCAATTTTGTAGGCTGCTGAAATTGATAAGTACTTGAATGCAACTCCTAAATTTGCACTAACTGTGAGGTTTCAAAAGCTCAGCCAGTCATTCTCGCCGAGTTTTGAGCACGGATAACAATACACATACCTGTACATTAGCAATCATCAGATGTGCATCACCTGATACAGACTTGCAAGCAGATATGCATGTAGATGTTACCCCATCTCTGGTCCCACAATACACACACAAACACCTTAAGATGTGCATCACTCACGTCTGATTGAATCTCATCCAGTTCTGGAAGAGTTGAGTGGCAGTGTCGATGACATCATCATTACCATTGGCCCAGGCTGTGTTCAGTACTAAAGTCCTCATCAAACTGAGACAGAAGGGAGAAAGGAAGATTAGACAAAATTAGGATAGCTCACTGAAAATGAAGAATCTCCTTCTTTGAAATGCTTGCATGTTTTGTTGGTTAGTTTTAAGCATGCATGCTGCATGTGCATTGCATTAGGCACCTACACCAACAATATTATCTAGAGGGGGCCCTGTAGATGGAACAAGGATAAGAGAGGCAGAAAGTTCACATCTGTATGTGGGTGAGGTTGGTTCTGTTGAAGGTGTATATCTTAGCAAAATCTTACGTCAGATTTCTCACAAACTCCTGCAGAGAAATTGCATGGACACTATAGTTAACCCTCGGCGTGCATGCGCTAGAGGGTTACTGTACTTGGTCTGTCTGTGTGTCGGTTTATGTTTTCTGCCACTAGAAGCAACAAGATCGCCGAAAGTCTACGCCAACGGGTTCGGCGCTACATTTGCTTGATTTAAAAACTGGCGATTTTCGTAAAAAGTGCTGCATGGCGTGAAAACCAAGTGAACAAGCCAATATGCAAATTAGCACGGGCTTATCTCGACAAGATGTACCAGAAGGTTAAAATCTATGGCTAAGGAATCTTTTTCAGCTCTAAGCCAGCAGGTACGTAACATCATGACCTGTATTTTATCAAAGATCAATAGTATGTGTACCTGGAAATAATCCATAGACAGGAGTGAGACTGAGTCTATTTCCCAGAGAGGTCAGCTGGGAGAGGCCAGTGAGACAGGGAACGTACTCAGTCTCATCTCTGATGTACTGAGACAGGTTCAGAGCCACTCGCGTGTCCAGTAGACCAGCACTGGAGGTGTGTGCACGTACAGTGTGCAAAGAGTGACATTGAAAGAGGCGGTGTAGTAGAGCGATAAAAAGTTGCTGTGGTAAGTGGGTGGGATATTGTTTATAGAAGAATCCATCAGTATACAGTATCTACGTAGTTCACAGGATTTCAGTATCCAGCTTAGAAGGGAACGCGGCAGTATATGAGGGTTAAATTTAGAAACTGTTAATCTTTTTTGCCAGGCTTTCTTAAGTTATAGCCCGTCACATTCGCTGTTAAGCTAGTAAGAGTGAGTGAGAGCTGACCTGGAGAGCCCAAATGCATCCTGGTGTGCACGTACAGTGTGCAAATAGTGAAATTGGGTATATTGAAGTGAAAGACTAATAGTGGAGGAGCTATAACTAATATAGAAGAATGTGTGCAAATAGTGACATTGAATTGAAAGAGGCAGTGTAGCAGAGCCATAAAAAGTTGCTGTGGTACATAAGTGGTATTTGTAAACAAGGAGGACAGGATGCGATTCAAGACACGCTGCAACAGTTTATCGAAAGAAGAGTGACAACAATTATTAGAGCCTATGTTTCTGGTGTCAGTCTCACACATGGCAATCCACGACAACACATCTGGACATTTGCTGCTGCTGCTACTCAGAGCAGTACTAATGACGAGGGATGTCCCTGCACTGGTGCCTCATTTGTCGCCACCCCGCATTTGTTGGTGAAGATTATTTCTGTGATTCAGGAGTCCACTCTAGTGGCTTCCATCCAGATGATCCTCTCTGGGATGGCAAAGGGCGCAGTAGCAGTAGCTGTTGCTCATTCAACAATCCTCCATACTTCACTAAGACACTCCCCAGCCCCACCTCTGACCCTATAGAGGCCAGACTGTGTCGATGGGAGAGTATTGATGATACTCCAGTTGAGTTCATGGAACTCTATGTCAAGTAGTGACAAGCAGAATGAATCTGAACTTTAGCAGACACTCTAAAACTGGTAGTTTTACTACATGGTTTGTACTGCATTATTGTACATATATACAATGACTGTTAATTCGAAATTATTTATATTATCCCAAATATGCATGAAAGAAAAATCAGCTCCAGCTACCAGTGGGTTTGAATCCACCATCTCTTGCTTGCTGGGCAAGTCCACCACACACTATAGAGAGCTACAGATGGTAGGCAGCGGAAATAAGCTCTCCTTATCCAACGGGATAACTCTGACTCATAAGCTAGAGATATCATAAATACACATTACAATCATAGTAATCATGGGAGAGAGGAAGAGAAACAAGACTGAGTGTCAGAAAGACAGTTTTGGATGAGGTTTTGGTTGGTCTCCAGCCAGAGAATGTTCCGTTGTATCACCTCCAGGGCCTGTCTGACTGCCCGAGCCCCACTCCCTTGGTCCCCCTGCTCACTAAAGAACCTCTCCACCTACACCAAACAGAGAGAGAGAGAGAGGGTGCTAGCTTACTTGACCAGATTACTAAGTTCAGAGGTAGATATTTAAAAGACTGAGGGAGTGGTAGTATAAAGCTACATGAGGTTAGGTATGAAGCAGTAAAGCAGGTAGTGCATAAAAACCCACACACATGGCAAAGTGAAAAGGCATGAACAGAATTAATGTGGGGTTGTCAGTGTGTGTGCTATCTCTTTGCTGTATCTATAGCGGGCCAACCTTTTTTCGTGCAGTAAAACGTCATTCTTCACAGAATTTAGAGAACATAAAGTATTCCCAACGAAAACGCTTTGGAGGGTAAATTGGTAAAACTATTAGCTCACCTCTTTCAGCTCCAGCTCTGTTGTGAAACTCCCAGTCACGTACTTTATCAGTCGCGAGAAGCTAAAAGAACCTCCACCATACCTGGTGACAAACAAACACCACCACTATGATCTATAGCCCTGCTATTAGTGACACCTACCGCTCCAAGAACAGACTCCAGTTGTTCCTGACAAAGTTCCACGTTAGGTATCGACCGTAGACGTTGCCTGACACGTAGGCAATGACAGTTGTGGTGTCTTGTGTGCGGACTTTACTGGGGTCTATGGAATACTCCAGGTAGCTGTGATGATAGACCAGGGGGAAAGACAGAGGGTAGGAGGAAGAAAGGAGGAGGGGGTAAGAACAAGGAAATTAATTTACAACTAACACAGACTAAGAAATAAGTAAAAATCATTAAGGGGTTTATGAACGACGAACGAAGAGAAGGATATGCGGAAAAGAGAGGAATTAAGGAATGGAGAGAAAAACGAGGATGGAGTAAGGAGAGAAGAGAGCTGTAGCACTAGAAGTGAGGGAAGAATGATAGGAAGGAGAGTGGAAGAGAAAAGCCTAGTCTTACAAAACAAAACAATAGCTGTCACACCCACCGACTGAGTAGCCATGGAATGCGGGACTTGCCGAGGGCACTGAGGAAGAGCCTCTTCTCATAGGGATCAGAGGAGGAGAGGTACTGGTCCCAGACAAACTCCCACTCCTCCTCTCCTCCGTAGGCTATTCCTACTGGGTACACCACCGACTTCAGGTCTGCATCCACCCTGGGGTCCACGGTATGTGCATAATGGGGAGAGAAGATAGTTTGTCTATATGCATAGAGACTCAATAGTTTTTGTGTTATTTGTGCTTCTTGAAGTAGCAAAATTAGTTAGTAGCAAATTTTGAGAGGAGTAAAAGTAAGTAGGTTTTATCACAGGTCCTCTTGAAGTATGAGACTAAACACATGAGAATTGGGTAACAAGAGTACCAACTTTTATAGAGCAAACATGCGTGCACTGCTTTGCATGTGGAACACACATGCTTACTACTAGAGTAGCTCTGGTATATCTTTGTGTAAAATCTTGTAAGGGCAATGTCAGTAGTTTTTAGGGCAGGATGTTTGTCTAAAGTGGACCATATTCCCATAGTGTCTGTGTAATCTATCCATTATCTACTGGGGTCCTATGTAATCACAGGTGTCCCATAAGGCATATACTAGTACACTGCCAGTATCAGTAGTTCTACAAACAGCCCTGGATTGGTTGTCTGGTAGACTGGGAGACAATGGCTGGAGCTATCCAGCTAGTGGTGCTGTGTGCCCTTCTGCTGCCTTGTGTGGATGTGTCACTGGCTCAAGTGAATGGTGAGTCAATAGGAGCTAAAAGAAAACGGACTGACTGACTAACAAGTGATTTTTGTGTTTGCAGCTACACAGATGGCAGTAGCAGTGTATGAGACACTGAGTCCATTCATGACTGAAATGAGAGAAGGCCTGGCTGCCGTCAAGACTGAAATGACTGCAATGAAGAGGAACCTGAGAGCAATGGAAGGAAAAGTCAACCACTTGAGCAGAGAAGTCGTGGCTCAAAAGAACCAGACCACCTCCGGACTTGCTGTGTTGGAGTCGGTGAAAGAAGAGATTACGACAGTGAAAACTAAACTAGAGAGCCACAAGACCTCTGTTGTTGAAGAGTTCGAGGCAGTCATCAACAACCAGAACACATTTGATTTCAAACTGGATTCACTGGATTTGAAGCAGGACAGAATGACTCTAAACCAGGGCAGACTGGGCCTAAAACAGGACCGGCTTGCTTTCAAGATGACAACTGCAAGGTCTGAACTGGAAGTAAAAATTAGCAACATCACAAAACTGCAACAGTCAGCTGAGCGTCATGTGACCTTGATTCAATCTCAACTGTCTTCAGTTAATGCTAGTATAGGGAACAAGCTGATAATCATGGAGAAACTCCTTGCAAGGAATGATACTGGATGTGAGAGACCTGACATTGAGACATTTTCTCACGAACAGCTGTTGCAGACTCTCCTGAATAGCCAGAGTGAGCTGCAAATAAGGGTTCTGAGTAACATCACAAAGGAGCTGGAGATGTCAGCTGAATATCATGTGACCTCATTTGAATCTACACTGGCATCTGGACTGTCTTCAGTGGATGTTGGTATCCAGAATGGACTAAGGAAAATTGGAAGTCAGATTGCAAAGAACTGTACTGCAGTTGGAGCAGAGATTTTGTCCTCTATTGCTGGTGAATTTGATGTAGTCGTGAATAACCAAAACACCATTGAACTCCAGTTAAAAGTGCTGAGCAACAATACAAAGGAACTAAGGCAGTCAGCTGAGAATCATGTGACTGCAATTGAATCCCAACTGACTTCAGTGGACGCTGGCATCCGGAATGAACTAAGAAAATTGAAAGTCAGATTTCAAAGAACAGCACTGGACCAGAGTTGGAGATATTCTCAAATGAAGATGTACTGGAGACACTGGTGTCAGTCAATACTAGCATCTCTGGACAAGTGAGCCACATCAATGAAGGTCTGGAGCACATCAGTAGCTCTGTGGACAGTGTGATAGTCGGACTACAGGAATGTATGGTTGGTGGTGGGCAGAACTGTTCAAGACAACCACTGGAAGAGTGTAAGGTTAATAGCGAGCCGAATTGTACATGCGAAACACTTAACTGTTCAAGGCAGCCACTGGAAGAGTGTACATGTGATACACCAGTGGAGCAGAACTGTTCAAGAAACTTAGTAGAAGAGTGTAAGGCTTATTGTGACACAGACTGTCCAAGGGAAGAGGTTTTGAGTAACTATGAATGTGGAGGTACAGGAGGTTGGAGACGTGTGGTCTACCTGAACATGACAGACCCCAACACCAACTGTCCCCCAGGATGGCAGCTTTCTGGCCAGTCCAAGAGATCTTGTGGTAGAGTTGGTACTTGTGACCGCTCCTGCGACTCAGTCACATTCCCTATCAGTGGAGGAAACTACACTAGTGTGTGTGGCTCTATCAGAGCCTACCAGTATGGTCAAACAAGAGGATTTCAGGCCTATCACGAGAGACGAGTAAGGACAATAGAAGGAGCCTATGTTTCTGGTGTCAGTCTCACACATGGCAGTCCACGACAACACATCTGGACATTCGCAGCTGGTTATTCGGAGGCCACACCTACTCAGATTTATGTCTGTCCTTGTGATGCTCCTCTCTATAGCATCAGCATCCCACCATTTGTGGGTGGAGACTATTTCTGTGAATCAGGAGTCAACTCTGGGTATGATTTCTACTCTTTAAGTGATCCTCTCTGGGATGGTGAAGGCTGTGGTAGCAGCAGTAGCTGTTGCTCATTCAACAATCCTCCATACTTCACTAAGATACTCCCCAGCCCCACCTCTGACCCTATAGAGGCCAGACTGTGTCACTATTATTCTGGTGATGACTCTCCAGTGGAGTTCATGGAGATTTACGTGAAATAGACAAAATACCTACTTCTGAAATACGGCTAAAGAATCGAACAATGTATACTTACTTTCTAACAGTAGCTACTATATATATTCTGGTGGTTGCTGAAATTGATAAGTATTTGAATGCAACAAACTCCCAAAACTTACACTGACTGTGAGGTTTCAAAAGCTCAGCCAGTCATTCTCGCCGAGTTTTGAGCACGAATCACGTGAGATTTGATCTTTCTCATCCCTATATAGAGCGTCTACCGACACTCTGATACAGATATGCGTCTAGATGTTACCCCATCTCCCAAAATACACAGACGCACCTCTGTTGTGCATCACTCACGTTTGGTTGAATCTCATCCAGTTCTGGAAGAGTTGAGTGGCAGTGTCGATGACATCATCATTACCATTGGCCCAGGCAGTGTTCAGTACTAAAGTCCTCATGAAACTGTACACGAGAAACAGGCATACAAAGATTTGTATAGAGAATCACACAGAAGGAAACAGAGAGACAGGGGACGGGGGCGAAAGGGGAGAAAATTAATCTCATAAAGTAAATTTCATTAGTGAGGGGTTCTGGACCTTACTGAAAATGAAAAATGGATCCTGTATATAGAGGAAGGAAGAGAGAGAGGAAAGATGTAATTCAGGGAGAGATTCATACATACAAAGTTGAGTCCTCACATCTGTATGTGGGTGAGGTGGTTCTGTTGAAGGTGTATATCTTAGCAAAATCTGACGTCAGATTTCTCACAAACTCCTGCAGAGAAAAATTGCATGACACTAGTTGTAGCATTTAAGTACCTATAGGTTGGCCTATTCAACATTGGTGCCAAATCCTTTAGAGCTTGCTTCAGTACTTAATGCATGAGTACCAAAACATTACAGAAAAGGTGGATTTTAAACCTACCTACTGGTATAAGCACTCTTTTTAAGCTGTAAGCCAGAAGCAAAGATGTTTACCTGGAATAATCCATAGACAGGAGTGAGACTGAGTCTATTTCCCAGAGAGGTCAGCTGGGAGAGGCCAGTGAGACAGGGAACGTACTCAGTCTCATCTCTGATGTACTGAGACAGGTTCAGAGCCACGTGCGTGTCCAGTAGACCAGCACTGGAGGTGTGTGCACGTACAGTGTGCAAAGAGTGACATTGGGTATATTGAAGTGAAAGACGAATAGTGGAGGAGCTATAACTATTATAGAAGAACGTTGCTGTGGTGGGTGGGGTTTTGTACAAAATATAGGAAAGAATCCATCAGTATACAGTATCTGTACAGTATACACTATCTGTACAGAGGAGTACAGGGAATGTGGGCAGTATATATAAGGGATAAATTGATTAACTGTTACTGAAAATGGGGAAAAATAGCAACGGAACTGCGGAAAACAAATTACATTCTGCAAAAGTCTGCTCTCCTTAGCTATGAATGTGGAGGTACAGGAGGTTGGAGACGTGTGCTTACCTGGACATGACATACCCCAACACCAACTGTCCTTTTGGCTGGCGGCTCACTAGTCACTCCAAGAGAACATGTGGCCGAATTAACCGCAATAGTTACTCTTGTGACTCAGCCTTTTCCCTGTCATTGGAGGAGAGTACACTAGTGTGTGTGGCTCTATCAGAGCCTACCAAAAAGATCAAACTGATGCTTTTGAGACCTTTATCGAAAGAAGAGTGACAACAAATTATTATTAGAGCCTGTTTCTGGTGTCAGTCTCACACATGGCAATCCACGACAACACATCGGACATTTGCTGCTGCTGCTACTCAGAGCAGTACTAATGACGAGGGATGTCCCTGCACTGGTGCCTCATTTGTCGCCACCCCAGTCATTTGTTGGTGAAGATTATTTCTGTGATTCAGGAGTCCACTCTGAGGATACTAGTGGCTTCCATCCAGATGATCCTCTCTGGGATGGCAAAGGTTGCAGTAGCAGCAGTAGCTGTTGCTCATTCAACAATCCTCCACACTTCACTAAGACACTCCCAAGCCCCACCTCTGACCCTATAGAGGCCAGACTGTGTCGATGGGAGAGTATTGATGATATATACTCCAGTTGAGTTCATGGAGCTCTATGTCAAGTAGTGACAGGCAAAATGAATCTGAACTTTTGAAGACACACTGAAACTGGTAGTTTTGCTACATGGTTTGTACTGCATTATAAACCATGATTGTTAATTCGAAATTGTTAATAGTTTCCATTTATCAGCGATCACGCAAGAAAGGAAGAAAAATCAGCTCTAGCTACCAGTGGATTTTAACCCACCACCTCTTGCTTGCTGGGCAAGTGCACTACACGACTATAGGCAGCGGAAATGAGCTCTTATCCAACATGAGTATTCTGACTCATAAGCTAGCGAGATCATAAATACACATTACATAGTCATCATGAGAGAGAGGAAGAGAAACAAGACTGAGTGTCAGAAAGACAGTTTTGGATGAGGTTTTGGTTGGTCTCCAGCCAGAGAATGTTCCGTTGTATCACCTCCAGGGCCTGTCTGACTGCCCGAGCCCCACTCCCTTGGTCCCCCTGCTCACTAAAGAACCTCTCCACCTACACCAAACAGAGAGAGAGAGAGAGAGAGGGCGCTAGTTACTTGACCAGATTACTAAGTTCAGAGGTAGATATTTAAAAGACTGAGGGAGTGGCAGTATAAAGATATGTGAGGTAGTTTTGAGGTTAAGTGTAAAGAAGTTAGTGCATATCAACCCACACATGGCAAAATGAAAAGTCATGAACTGAATAGGTTGTCAGTGTGTGTGCCATGCCCGTTGTTGTATACTGAATCCACAGCGGGTTAATCTCTTTCCGTGCAGTAAAATGCTATTTTTCACGGAATTTAGAGATTCCCCAAAGGAAAAAGATTTTGAGGGTGAATTGGTAAAACTATTAGCTCACCTCTTTCAGCTCCAGCTCTGTTGTGAAACTTCCAGTCACGTACTTTATCAGTCGCGAGAAGCTAAAAGAACCTCCACCATACCTGGTGACAAACAAACACCACCACTATGATCTATAGCCCTGCTATTAGTGACACCTACCGCTCCAAGAACAGACTCCAGTTGTTCCTGACAAAGTTCCACGATAGATATCGACCGTAGACGTTGCCTGACACGTAGGCAATGACAGTTGTGGTGTCTTGTGTGCGGACTTTACTGGGGTCTATGGAATACTCCAGGTAGCTATGATATAGACCAGGGGGAAAAGACAGAGGGTAGAAGGGAGAAAGGAGGAGAGGGTAAGAACAAGGGGATTAATGTACAGCTAACACCGACTGAGAAATAAGTAGAGAAGGACAAAATCATTAAGGAGTTCATGAACGACAGAAAAGAATGATATGGGGAAAAGAAAGGAATTTGAATAATAGAGAAGAGATAAAGAGAGAAGAGAGCTGTAGCACTAGAAGTGAGGGAAGAATGATAGGAAGGAGAGTGGAAAGAGAAAGCCTAGTCTTACAAACAAAACAATAGCTGTCACACCCACCGACTGAGTAGCCATGGAATGCGGGACATGCCGAGGGCACTGAGGAAGAGCCTCTTCTCATAGGGATCAGAGGAGGAGAGGTACTGGTCCCAGACAAACTCCCACTCCTCCTCTCCTCCGTAGGCTATTCCTACTGGGTACACCACCGACTTCAGGTCCGCATCCACCCTGGGGTCCACGGTATGTGCATAATGGGGAGAGAAGATAGTTTGTCTATATGCATAGAGACTCAATAGTTTTTGTGTTATTTGTGCTTCTTGAAGTAGCAAAATTAGTTAGTGGCAAATTTTGAGAGGAGTAAAAGTAAGTAGGTTTTATCACAGGTCCTCTTGAAGTATTGAGACTAAAACACGTGAGAATTGGGTAACAAAAGTACCAACTTTTATAGAGCAAACTGCGACGCACTGCTTTGCATGTGGAACACACATGCTTACTACTAGAGTAGCTCTGTGTAATCTTTTGTGTAAAATCTTGTAAGGGCAATGTCAGTAGTTTTTAGGGCAGGATGTTTGTCTAAAGTGGACCATATTCCCATAGTGTCTGTGTAATCTATCCATTATCTACTGGGGTCCTATGTAATCACAGGTGTCCCATAAGGCATATACTAGTACACTGCCAGTATCAGTAGTTCTACAAACAGCCCTGGATTGGTTGTCTGGTAGACTGGGAGACAATGGCTGGAGCTATCCAGCTAGTGGTGCTGTGTGCCCTTCTACTGCCTTGTGTGGATGTGTCACTGGCTCAAGTGAATGGTGAGTCAATAGGAGCTTAAAGAAAACTGACGGACTGACTAACAAGTGATTTTTGTGTATGCAGCTACACAGATGGCAGTAGCAGTGTATGAGACACTGAGTCCATTCATGACTGAAATGAGGGAGAGTCTTGCTGCTGTTAAGACTGAAATGAGAGAAGGCCTGGCTGCCGTTAAGACTGAAATGGCTGCTGTTAAAACTGAAACGAGGGAAGGTTTGGCTGCGTTAAGACTGAAATGGCTGCAATGAAGAGGAATCTGAGAGCAATGGAAGGAAAAGTCAACCACTTGAGCAGAGAAGTCGCGGCTCAAAAGAACCTGACAGTTTCTGGACTTTCCGCGTTGGATGCCAAGCTAGCCTCTGTCGAATCAGTGAAGGAGAATATGGAGGTGTAAAGGCACAACTGAATGAACACAAGACCACTGTTGCAGAAGAGTTGGAAGCACTCAATACGATTGATCTTAAACTGGACTTACTGGATGCCAAACAGGACACACTGGATGCCAAACAGGACACACTGGATGCCAAACAGGACACGTTGGATGCCAAACAGGACACGTTAGCTTGAAACAGGACAGACTAGGTTATAAAGTGATGGCTGCAACCTCTGCACTGGAATCGAGGATTTTGAGCAATACAACAAGGGAACTAAGAAGGTCAGCTGAGAATCATGTGACATTGATTGAATCCCAACTGACTTCAGTCAATGCTAGTATTGGAAATGAGCTGCGAATGGTGAAAAGACTCCTTTCAAAGAATGACACAGCTGCATGTGAAACATCTGAGGTTGATACTCACCCTGAAGACCTGTTACAAACTCTCCTGAATAGCCAGAGTGAACTAGAGCTAAGGGTTCTGAGTAACATCACAAAGGAGCTGGAGATGTCAGCTGAATATCATGTGACGGCATTTGAATCTACACTGGCATCTGGACTGTCTTCGTGGATGCTGGTATCCAGAATGGACTAAGGAAAATTGGAAATCAGATTGCCAAGAACTGTACTGCAGTTGGAGCAGAGATTTTGTCCTCTATTGCTGGTGAATTTGATGTAGTCGTGAATAACCAAAACACCATCAAACTCCAGTTAAAAGTCCTCAGCAACAATACAAAGGAACTAAGGCGGTCAGCTGAGATTCATGTGACTGCAATTGAATCCCAACTAACACTAGTGGATGCTGGCATCCGGAACGAACTAAGGAAAATTGAAAGTCAGATTTCAAAGAACAGCACTGGACCAGAGAGAGTCGAGTTGGAGATATTCTCAAATGAAGATGTACTAGAGACACTGGTGTCAGTCAATACCAGCATCTCTGGACAAGTGAGGCACATCAATGAAGGTCTGGAGCATATCAGTAGCTCTGTGGACAGTGTGATAGTCGGACTACAGGAATGTGTTGTTGGCGGTGGGCAGAACTATTCAAGACAACCACTGGAAGAGTGTAAGGTTAATAGCGAGCCGAATTGTACATGCGAAACACTTAACTGTTCAAGGCAGCCAGTAGAAGAGTGTACGTGTGATACAACAGTGAAGCAGAACTGTTCAAGAAACTTAGTAGAAGAGTGTAAGGCTTATTGTGACACAGACTGTCCAAGGGAAGAAGTTTTGACAAACTACACATGTGGAGGTACAGGAGGTTGGAGACGTGTGGCCTACCTGAACATGACAGACCCCAACACCAACTGTCCCCTTGGCTGGCAGCTCACTAGGTACTCCAAGAGATCTTGTGGTAAAGTTAACACCAACAGTCTCTCCTATGACCCAGTCTTGTTCCCTGTCAGTGGAGGAAACTACACTAGTGTGTGTGGCTCTATCAGAGCCTACCAGTATGGTGCAACAAGAGGATTTCAGGCCTATCACGAGAGATCGGTAAGGACAATCAATGGAGCCTATGTTTCTGGTGTCAGTCTCACACATGGCAGTCCACGACAGCACATCTGGACATTTGCAGCTGGTGCTTCTGAGGCCCTACCTACTCAGATTTATGTCTGTCCTTGTGATGCTCCTCCCAATAGCATCAGCATCCCACCATTTGTGGGTGGAGACTACTTCTGTGAATCAGGAGTCAACTCTGGGTATCCTAACATATTACATCCAGATGATCCTCTCTGGGATGGAGAAGGCTGTGGTAGCAGCAGTAGCTGTTGCTCATTCAACAATCCTCCATACTTCACTAAGACACTCCCCAGCCCCACCTCTGACCCTATAGAGGCCAGACTGTGTCACTATTATTCTGGTGATGACACTCCAGTGGAGTTCATGGAGATTTATATAAAATAGAGAAACCACCTACTTCTGAAATTACTGCTAAAGAATCGAACAATGCAACTAAGTAGCTGCTATTTGTGCAATTTTGTAGGCTGCTGAAATTGATAAGTACTTGAATGCAACCAACACTAACTGTGAGGTTTCAAAAGCTCAGCCTCCGGGTTTTGCACGGATCAGGTGAGATTTGATCTGTGTCATCCCTATATAGAGCGTCTACCGACACTCTCAGCAGATACGTGTGTAGGTGTTACCCCACATCTCTGATTCCAAAATACCTACATTACCAATTATCAGATGTGAATCACTCACGTCTGGTTGAATCTCATCCAGTTCTGGAAGAGTTGAGTGGCAGTGTCGATGACATCATCATTACCATTGGCCCAGGCTGTGTTCAGTACTGAAGTCCTCATGAAACTGTACATGAGAAACAGGCATACAAAGATTTGTATAGAGAATCACACAGAAGGAAAAGAGGGCAGGGCAAAAGGGGAGAAAATGTATCTCATAAAGTAAATTTCATTTGTGAAGGGTTCTGGACCTACTGAAAATGAAAATGCAATAAGGCAGATCCTGTAGAGGCAGGAAGAGGGGAAAGATGTAATTGAGGGAGAGATTCATACATACAAAGTTGAGTCCTCACATCTGTATGTGGGTGAGGTTGGTTCTGTTGAAGGTGTATATCTCAGCAAAATCTGACGTCAGATTTCTCACAAACTCCTGCAGAGAAAAATTGCATGGACACTAGTTGTAGCATTTATGAAGTACCTATATAAGTTGAGCATAAGAAACCATACTATAAGTTCCCCATTCAACATTGGTGCGACTTTAGAGCTTGCTTCAGTACTTAATGCATGAGTACCAAAACATTACAGAAAAGGTAGATTTTAAACCTACTGGTTACTATAAGCACTCTTTTTAAGCTCTAAGCCAGAAGCAAAGATCAATAGTATGTTTACCTGGAATAATCCATAGACAGGAGTGAGACTGAGTCTATTTCCCAGAGAGGTCAGCTGGGAGAGGCCAGTGAGACAGGGAACATACTCAGTCTCATCTCTGATGTACTGAGACAGGTTCAGAGCCACTCGCGTGTCCAGTAGACCAGCACTGGAGGTGTGTGCACGTACAGTGTGCAAAGAGTGACATTGAAAGAGGCGGTTTAGCAGAGCGATAAAATGTTGCTGTGGTAAGTGTGGGTGGGATATTGTTTATAGAAGAATCCATCAGTATACAGTATCTACGTAGTTCACAGGATTTCAGTATCCAGCTTAGAAGGGAACGCGGCAGTATATGAGGGCTAAATTTAGAAACTGTTAATCAATTGTGTTCTTTTTGCCGGCCTTTCTTAAGTTATAGCCCGTATGTCTCGTCACATTCGCTGTTAAGCAAGTAAGAGTGAGTGAGAGCTGACCTGGAGAGCCCAAATGCATCCTCTAGTAGACCAGCTCGGTCTCTGGACTTAAAACCTGTAAGGAGAGGGGGAGAAGGAGAGGGAGGGAGGAAGAGAGCAAAGAAAGGTGAAATTTGCTGTAGTTATGCTACATAGTCAAAAGAAGAAGGAAAATAGCAAGGGAGCCACATTGACTATGAATAACATCATACTCGATCCTTTACCTCTGAGTTTGGGTTGCTGCGGAGATGAGCGATGATGTCATACCAATTAGAGAGGTCGTAGTTCACCCGGTAGAATCCAGTCTGGTTGATGTTGACCTTTATGAACCCCGAGTTGGCTGGGAAACTCAGCTTCACTGTGGAACAACAAAAATATATACTGTCATTGGCTGCATAATTTCAACTTACACGGCATGGTCATCATATATTGGCCCTTAGAGCCAGGCTCGAGTGACGTTCTGAAATCTGATGGTCAACAGAGGAATACTATTTCACATAGTATCCGCTGACTGATCACGACTTCTACATATAGAAATCCTCCCCGAGGCACATTCCATTGTTACCATGCGCAGAAACGTGCTCACAACACAGAAAATTCAAGAAGCGCTATCAGCTCTGCATAGAAAGTGTAGCTAGCTCGAGACGCAGCACCCCTAACTGCAGGCAAGCTAACAGAGTGAAAGAGAGACGCTGGCTCTGCCGCTTGTCACGCAAGGTAGGCGGGGTCGCTGCGTGCTTTTCGCACAGCCAGTGCATGTGCGCGTGCGCTAGAGCTGTAGCCAAGTCTCAGTATCATGCGCCACTACCTGCTAGAAGCCCGAGTATATACCTGGCTTTTCGTGAAAATAACCGCTCCAGAAGCCCGTCTTCCGTCCGCCCGCGTGGCGTCTTCGAATTGAATGGTTGTGGTTGCCATGGCTCTAATCAGTTAGGCCCAATCTCGAAACCACTACGCTTTAGAAAGCCTCGGGCCCTCTAGTAGCGTCCTCGCTGCGCTCGGACAGCTACAGCCGAGCGGCTGGCGCTTTCTAAATCGCGTAGTTGCCCTCGATCGGTCGGCGTCCTAACTTATATTCAGCAGCGCTAGGCTCTTATGAGTATGCAATACGAATGAAAACTTGACATTACAGTAATCTGATTCGCACCCTTGAGAGAAATGCTTGGCTCTCCTAACATCTGGCAAAAGCGCTCCGCAAAAATATTCGCCCCACTTGTTCGAAAACGCACTCATCACTCACCTTCTTTGTCTCTAATGATCTGAAGCTTCCTCCACAAACTTGTCGGAGCTGTTCTTCTCAGTGATGTAGTTGAATGGTACCAACCACACATAGCTGTGGACAATGGTGAGCTACATATCTATACATCATTATTAACTAGACCACTAGACTTCTCTGCTGTCAAACTAGCTATAATAATACTGGGTCACAATATGTCACATTGCTGCGTGCGGTCCGCGAGGATAGAATCCATTTCTATCTTCGCGGCAGGACGCGACGCGGCAATGCGCGACGTGGCAATGCGATAAATTGTGAACCTAGCCTTACTGGTGGCTAATAAGTATTAACTACATTTTAGTATGTACACGACTGGCTGATACTCATGTATTACATCTTACTCATAGGAGAAGGAGCAACAGTTCCGTTTGGTTTCAGGATGAAGAACCTCTCTTGCGTGACCTGTCCTGACTCTGTGTCGACCTGTAGGACACACGTTACACCAGTTCAGGACACCGGAATGTGAACAGCTCACACTAATGCCAGCTACATAGCTATGGAGTAAGCTTAGACTAATTGTGTATGAGCGGTGGGAACACTCTTTGTAAAGGACATGCGGACCTTGAACATGTCCTTTATAGAAAGGTGTGCTTTATTTGGAGTGCCATTTAAAAGAGCTTCACTGTACTACTTGAGGACATTGTACCAGGGTAGTGCAATGACTACCCAATGGTATCACACATGTTTATCATGAGACTGCGTACATGTAGAACGGGTCTCCCATCTGGAGTGTCCATGTGTGTCATTATCTCCGTCACATTCAGATCCGGCTCCTGTGTAATATGTACATCAGACATAGCATAATGGTGATGTGGATAAATCGGAGCATTTCGTATCTAATAATTGTATTTCCACTACTGGCATAAACGTTTGTGAATCTCGTGATTAGAGCCAGAATCTGAAAATATAGTCCAAGTCAGACTGAGTAGTATACTGTGTGGGGATAATATGAAGTCAGACTGAGTACTGTATAGGGATAATCCTGGGGGAAAACACTCTTGTTCTAGGGTAAATCCATTGGTGCCATAAACCATACCCGTAAGAGTTAATTTACTACACAACAGAGCAGTATGCAAATACCGTCTAACGAAATGTTCATAACTCACTGTATTAATAGTTTAGACATGGAAATTAATTATAATGATCTGATTACATAATGCACGCGTCTGCAGCTTGCGATTACATAACCTCACCGTGTAATTAACATCATCTCATCAGTATAATACATAGGGGATTAAAGCGCTCTTATGTACGTACATTAAATAGTGAGAAAGAATGAGCTGTAGAGTATATTGCGAGCGTGCAGCTCTATAACTAACAGTCGAGCACACATTGGCTTTCCTATGGTCTACTTACGGCCCTGAAACTGATCATAGACGCTACGACATACTTCAGAGTGTACATATTGCCTCTATGTATAATACTACTTACATCAACACGGTTTGTAGTGCGTCCCATAGTTGTGTGTCTTGGCGTGATACCAACTTTGACTTGTTCCAGTATGCTGGAGAGATAAGAATGGACACAGAGGGAGGATAGTAAATCTGAAACAAGGGAATGAAAGTAATTGTCAGCACTGACAGACTTACATCCATCCCTACACACATGAAAAACGGAAGGAAAATAAGATTACTTACACTGATCCCTGTGTGAAACATTATCTGGTTGTCAGAACATTCCGGATCATTCTACACGCACAGACCCCCCTACAAATATTGCAAGTCTTTAAATGCATAATAGCTGATCTGGAAACCATGGGAACAGAAGGAAATTGTCCACTTAAGGAGTATATACTATAATTATACTGTGAATGCAAAACTGTTTCAGGGGCGTGTCTTAGAGAGATGCCCTCATTTCAGAGGGTGTCCTTGGAGAGATGCCCTCATTTCAGAGGCGTTCTTAGAGAAGTGTCCCTCATTTCAGAGGTGTCCTTGAGAAGTTCCTCAGAGAGGGGTACCCACCCACCTTGCTGTATGAAATGGAGTCAAAGAGTTCGTTGATCTCATTAGGGTTGGAGACGGTCTCTACGATGGGGTGACTGTCATTCACTCCGTCGGCTGAGAACGCCGGGAACAAGTCGGAAGTCAGAAACTCATCCAGCTGTATACACACAGAGCCACACATGAAATAATATTTCAGTGTTTCAACTCTTAGTGCTAACCTGGATAATACATGTATATACTTTACCAGTGTCAGCTAATGCTTAATTACCATACACATTCAGTGCTTGCGTGCATATTGAAGCACAATATCTGCTACTACTAGGGTTAGTATGTATTCGCCACAGTTCACATTTCCCTGTCTCAACACTTTCTACAAATACTGTACTATGTATGTATGAGCACCGATCAGGTAGAAATGTAACTTTAAGGTATCAATTTAGTCGCATCTTCTGTTACTTTTAGTACTACTTTTGAACTAAAGGTAATGTATCAAGGAGCTGAATTGATAATGTTAAGAATGCAGCGTGCCACTGCTTGCAATGTAGTGCATTTCGTCTACCATATGGAAAGGAAGGTTCAGTTGCATCAGTTCCAATGTATTCAGTGAAAGTAGCAAATCCTTCGTTCAACCAAAGGACCATCCCACCACTCCATCGTCACCAGGTTCCCAAACCACTGAGAGGGAGAGCGGAAAGAGGGAGTGGGAGGAAGGGAGAAAGAGAGGAGAGAAGAAATCGTGAGAAAGACATTATAGGAGTGGTGTATGTGGTCTATTAATCATTTTGTTTTGTGTAATTGAATAAAATGTGGTGAACAAACCACTGAGAAAAGAGGGGAAAAGAGGGAGTGGGAGGAAGGGAGAAAGAGAGGGAGAGAAGAAATCGTGAATAAGAGCACACATTATATTATAGGAGTGGTGTATACCATTGAACATCTAGCAATCATTTTCTTTGTGTAATTGCTGGAATATAATTGTGTTTAAACAGGATGGTATAAACTCAGCAGTAGGAGTTGAAAGATTGAGAAACTTGAGGTGTGGATTAAACAATTCTCTCGCTGCGTATAGTTGACAAGAACCGGTTTCTGACTTACGACATGTTCCCAGTGTTCAGAGGGAAGTAAGGAGAGATAGAATGAGAGAGTATATACCTGATGAGCCAGTTCGTGAGCGATGACAACGGCCACCCTCTGTTTACTGGTCTCAGGGTTGACTGCCGGGTCGTAGAGCAGAGCCGTCTCTCTGGAGATGGAGGGAGGGAGGGAGAGATGAGAGGGAGAGATGGAGGGAGAGATGAGAGGGAGAGATGGAGAGGAGAGATGGAGGGAAAAAACAGAGTATGTGAGTGATATTTACTAGCATACGTATAGTACATACGTCCATTCACAGTATGACCACTACTTGCTGATATTTCACAGTATCATTGTTGATATGTACTTACGTACATACAGTAGTGCTTACTTACGCCCAGTCAAATATGGATCGTAGATATGCAACATACACAATATGTACAGCTACTACAATATATTATACCTGTATGTGATGAGTCCCCAGTTCTCCATGGCTCCAGCGGCAAAGTCGGAATAGCAAACAAGTCTGTAGATCAGAGTGGACATTAAGATGTTCTTGATTAAGCTCCCGGAATAATTAATAGTACCTTGCTTTGGGAGGGGGTAGGGGATGCCAAAGTAGGACTCGTAAAATTTGAGGATCTCAGAAGCCTTCTCGAGGGCATAGTGAGTGTTGTTCAGAACGTCAGGGTTGGAACATACACTGACCTAATCGTGTTGAAATGGGAGCCAACTGTTTACAATACTCTTGGCCCTATGCCTATATACTCCATTTACAGGCGGCATTTACTGCAGCATTTAGGTATGGTACTGACACCCCATTCATTGACCAAAGAAGACGAAACTAAAGAAATCCAGGCCAACTTGCTCATAGTAAGCATAATACCTCAACAATTTGCCCTCCCCATTACCATTAGGCTCATAATTATCAGTTAGAGTGTTGATGTGTGCCCCTCCCCATATTGCCTCTCATGTAAAATTCTATAATATTTCCCCGGTGGAATCTTGGCACAAGACCAGTACACAGAATTAACCTACACCACTTACGTTCACTTGAAAGACTGTGTCAGATTTCCTGGTGATACATTTAAGTCGGACACCACTAAAAAGCCACGAGGTAAGTACTCATCTTCACGGACGTCTCAAAAAACGTGGTGACCGTCGATCCATCTTCTTCATCTGACACTTCATCTCTCACCGGCATGTTAGAGTGGGCGTTCAACTCGCTAGAATGCGTTATCGATATCGTAAAATTCGCTTTCATTGCCGGCTCGTCGAAACACGGAAAAGCCTTTCGGGCGTCGGTCGGCTCAAAGTGAGTAGTTGCGATCCATTTCGTTTCACCGCTCGAATCTCGATACGAACTCCTGTAGAATCCCACTAGTCCGTCTCCGAGAGGATAGTAATATTTTCATTTCCAGAGTGGCTTCTCCTATAGCGAGACTACTGGCGAGAGATAGCACGTAGAAATTATTCTCCTCATATGTGAAATTGCTTTGAACGGGATAGTCTCGCCGTTCTGAGTTACTCTGAACCAGAATACGTTCATTCTTCAGTGGATGAGTACGTAGCGTGTCTTTGTGGCTGATGTTGAGGTTGATGAACAGTGGATCCGGTCACAGTGAATGGCAAATGTCTACTGTGAGATGGATGGTGTATTCTGAGAATAAAGAAGAAGAAGTA